CTGCGTTGCCACCAGCAGTGAACGAGTGTTCTTTTTTCTCCACATCCTCTCCAGCACTTGTTGTTTGTTGATTTGTTGATGATAGCCATTCTGACTGGTGTGAGTTGGTACCTCATGTTGTTTTTATTTGCATTTGTCAGATGATTAGTGACTTGGAACATGTTTTCATATGTCTCTCAGGCCTTCTGTATGTCTTCTTTTGAAAAGTGTCTATTTAGGTCCTTTGCCCATGCTCTTAACACAGTAACTCCTGAGCTCACTCTCTCTTCTCCTTAACCTGACTCCCCCCAAAAGAAGTCTACTCTTCTTTCTGTCTTTCTCATTTTAGATTATAGAGTTATCATTATCTACCTAATCTCCAGTGTTCCTCCAGACTTCATTATTCTTTGTCCTTGCATCTAATCCATTATCAAGTCTTAAAGAACAGACTATGAATTCATCCCTGTCTCTCTACCCCCATTGCCTTTATCTTCTCCCACCAATATTATTTCAACAATTTTTTAAATTAGTACCCTATACTGATACATTCTTCTCACCATACAAATGTTCTGTACTGTTATCAGTTATCCTTAAAAATATAAATCCAGTTCTAACATAGCAGCATTCCTAGAAAGCTATGCTGATGACCATTTGCTATCTTGATAAAGGTGAAGTGCCTAATCATGATGTATGACATCTATTAGTGTGGCCCCAGCTTTGAGCCTGTTACTCTCCTGATTGTACCATAGTTTGAGCCATACTAAATCTGGTGTTGCCCAAATATGCTGTAGACTTTTAAATGCCCTCAAATATTTTATAATATAGAACACTTTACTTGAAATACTAACCCTCCCATACCCATATCCCTTTCCTCCTGGAAAGATTTAATGAGAACACAAAGGCACATTGAGGTATATCCTGCATAAATCTAGGAAGGCTTCAGTGAGGAGGTGATGCTTTAAGTAGGTCTTGAAGGATAAATAGGAACCGGTATTACGTTAGGATGGGAGACAGGAAAAGGAATTCCAGTAGGCAAATTGAGGCCAGAGTAGTCTGCCAGTCACTTCACAAAAGAAGACAGAGTGAAATAATATCAACATACATTTGAAACTGATTTCTGCACAGCCCAGCAGGAAGAACTAGGGTACACTAAACATTTATAATAGTTGTTTATGGAAAGAGAAAGCAGTATAGTAAGCCTCCAATGATGTACTATAAAAAGAGGCAGTCTTTAAAGACTTACTCTGAAAGGTGCCATGTCTTAACGTCACTCAGGAGCTCTGAGCAGAAATGCCTTTAGCAT